CCCCGGGACCACTGGGAAAGGGAGTTTCAGTGCCCCCCCACCCCTCCGTGACCGCTGGGAATGGGGCTGCGCGCCCCCCCGGACCCTTGGGGAGTCTTTGTGCCCCCCCACCTCTGCGACCACTGGGGACGAGGATATGTGCGTCCCCCTCCCTCATCGCTGGCCGTGGGGATGGAGCTCCGGAGCCTTCCCCCGGGGCCATTGGGGATGAGGGTCTGTGTGCCCCTGGCCCCCGCTCCCGGAGCACGGGGGCGGTTGCGGGTCTCTCCGGTGGCCGTTGGGAAGGAGCCCCCGCGGGTGTTGTGGCCGTTGGGGGTCGGGTCCCCCCGAGACCCGCCTGTGCCGTCGCGAGGGCCGCGCTCAGCGTCCCGGGGTCCCCACGGCTGGGAGGGGGTGTCTCTCCCCTGCGTGGGGTCACCGCCATGCCAGGTTTTGTGGGAAGGATCGGGGCTGCGGGGGTGATGCGGACGAGGAGGGGGTTCTCGAGAGGATGGCGGTGTTCCTGGGCGGAGGCGGGGGTCACCCGTCTTGACCCCCGTCTCTGTGAAGGGAGGGTTTGGGGGGCAGAGGGACAGCGCGAGCGGAGGTTCCCTGGACCTCAGCTCTTTTGTAGTGCCGGTAGGGGGTTCTCCGCACAAATCCCGGAAGATTGAATGTTCCCCAACGCGTTTAGCGAGTCCCTGTGAGTTTGGGGCGGGTCAGACCCCGAGAGCGGAGCCCCTCCGGGCATCACCCCCGGGGCCGGGCCCTGTGCCGGCGGCCGTGTGCCGCAGTACGAGCCGCCCTCCTTCGAGTCCTTCGAGTCCCCGTTGGCCAGCGGGCCCATCTGGAGGTGACCCCGCCGGTGACAACGTGGCCGGGTGTCCCGCGAGGGCAGGGGCGGCCGGCGGGGCAAGCGCTCCTGCCGTGCGCTCTCCCGCCCGTTGTGTACACGGGGAAGGTCACAGGTTCAGGTCTGGTCTGCGAGACTTGGCTCACCTCCATCTCCCAGCAGCCTTCCTTTTGCCTTTCCTTTCTTTTTTTCCCCACTTTCTGGGAAGGCCCTTTCCCTTGGAGGAGGCTTTAGAGACATATTTTCCAAAGTGTGCACCGAAGAGTCCCATGGGGTCTTTCCCCCTCCTCCGGAATGTCCAAGGATGCCGGTGTTGGGGCTGGCTTTTGGGCTCCATCGTGTGCAGGCCGTTCCTCGCCTGGACATCCTCAGGAAAACCTATTTCCACGCTTTGTGCGATGACTCCAGCATCAGATTATGCCGCACATTTCTAGCTCTTTGTTGGCAGTACGCGACCGCACATGCACGGCACTCAGAAAATCCAGGCAGCTGATTTTATTGATTAGCTCTTGACCAAAAAGAATTTATATTTTATTATTTTGAAGCTGTTTGAGTCGCAAAACACAAAACCTTGCCTTTTTACACCCTTGTTCATCCCCTCTCCTGTGAGGGGGAGAAGGGAGATGTGTGCAGCACTAGGAGAGTGGTGTCTCTGTGGTGGAAAAGGACAAGGATTTAATGTTTCACCTGGACTGGCCTGGCATGGAGGGCAAGGGCTGCCTCTGGTTAGAGCCACTGGAGGAAATTAATTATCAAGCAAGTT